GTAAACATATTTCATCCAGTTTTTCTCAGTCATACCCCCACCCCAATGCCAGCCTCATTCTACAACAGTGGCACCATTATAGCATTTGTCCCTTTGTGACTGAGATACCTCACTCAGCATAATGTCCTCCAGGGTCACCCATTTTGAATAATATTGCATGAGGCAAGGATTCTGAAGCTTTGTGGACCTGCTGCAAGGAGGGACCAGTCCCTTGGAGAGGGACATCATGCTTGGGAGAATGAAGGGATGGCACAGGAGAGGAAGACCCTCAGTCACTTGATTCAGTCACTAAGGAAATGAGAGTAAGTGTGTCAGAGACAATAAGTTTTGGCAAAGGATAGTGGAGGGTTTAGGGCTCTAGTACATAGGGTTGCTATGTGTCGCAAGTGACTCTATGGCACATAGCAACAATAACAAGTTTTCATTGTTACGGAAAATATTTTTTATATGCCCAGGGATTTACTCTCAAGTCTCTTATTCAACTTGAGATGATTTTTGTGTTTGGTGTGAGATGTGGATCCTGTTTAAGCTTTCTGCAGGTCACAGTTCAGTTTTACCAGCCCCATTTGTCGAAGAGGTTATTATTTCCCCTTTTGATAGGTTTTATTTCTTTGATTTGTTGAGACTTGCTTTGTGTCCTAATATGTGATTGATTTTGGAGAATGTACCATGTGCACTTGAGAATAAAGTGAATTGAGTTTTAATTGGATGCAGTACACTGAATACATTCACAAGTTCAATTAGGCTGATTATATAGTTTAGATATTCTTCATTTTTGCTAAGTTTGGTGTTTTGGTTTTTTTTTTAACCTATCCTTTGGTGATTGTTCTGAGTTAAAATCTACTATTACAACTACTACTGTGGTGCTATTTCTTTCTCCAATTCTGTTAACTGTTGTTTTATGTATTTTGTAGGTCTATCATTCAATTCATAAGTGGTGACCAAGATTATGTTTTCTTGATCTATTGTTCCTTTAGTCAACATACAATGCCCTTCCTTACCTTTAATGGTGATTTTCATTTTGATGCCAATTTTATTATCAGAGATCAGTATTGCCACTCCTGCTTTTTGGAGTTTGCCATTTTCTTGGTATAAATTTTTCCTGCCTTTGATTTTGAGACTCTTTCTCTCATCTTTAGGTTTGTCTCTTGTAGGTAATATATTATGGGCTTTGTTTTTTAGCCATTTTTCTAGTCTTTTTCTTTTTGTTGACACATTAAGTCACTTTACATTAAGTGTGATTATCGTTAGGCCAGGTTTTACTGTTGTCATTTTGTTGTATTTCTTTTTCTGTTGTTTCTGATTACTATGGTCCAACTGCTTTCCTTTGGGATTTCCATGTAATTTAAAATTTCTTGTAGTTTTGGTCTTGTTTTCACTGATTTGTTTAAGTTCCTTCTTTTCTGCAAAGTATCTAATTTCTCCTTCTTATTTGATGGAGAGCTTTACTGGATATAGGATCCTTGGCTGACAATTGTTTTCTTTCAACTTTCTGTGTATGACATCCCATTGTCTTCTAGCTTGCATGGTTTCTGCTAAGAAATCAGAATATAATCTAATTGTTTCCCTTCCGTTTTGTAGGTGACTCTTGTTTTCCTCTTGCTGCTTTTAGAATTCTATCCTTATCTTTTAATTTGGAGCATTAACTATGATATGTATTGATGTTTTTCTTTTTGGGTCTAGTCTATTAGGTGTTTGCTGTCCTTCTTGAATGTGGATTTACTTGTTCTTCCAAATACCTGGAAAGTTTTCTTCTAACACTTCTTCTTCAGTTTTCTCAGTGATTTTCCTTATTCCCATGTTCTTGAATAACATTCACGTATATGTTGTTCCCTTTGAAGTAATCATGTCACATGATTCTAATGTTTTCTTCCTTTTCTTTACATCTCATCTCTGATTTTTTCTTCTAGTATATTTCCAGTGAGGCTCTTGTCTTTCAGCTCAATGATACTCCGTTCCATCTCTTCAATTGTACTTTTTTTGTCTTACCAGCACATTGGACACTTCTGCCATTTTGGTCTTAATATTCTGGATTGCATTTTTATGCTTTTAAGTTATTTCTTGTACTGTATTGTCTGTACCATCTTTGACTTGTGACCATTTTTAAAGTTCTTGTACCTCTTTATCTATACTACCAATTCTTTCTTCCATCTTTTGCATTTTTCCCCCCTTGTAAGTATTCAAAATGCTCGTCCTCAAAATATTTCTTCTAGATTTTTGTCTCTGGGTTATTTGCTCTCTTAATTGTTTCTTCCATCATTTGCATCTTCTTCTGTAGCTGCTCAAATAACTCCATATCAACATATTCTTTTCTTGTTCTCTCTATCTGAGGTATTCTTTGGGTCTGTTTTTTAGGAGAAGGATTATTTTGTTTTTCATGATTAATGAAGCAGATTCCTGCTTTCTTAACATTATGTGAGTCTTTTCTTAGTTGATGTTAGGTCATTGAAACTATACAGTGACTCAGAGTATGGGAATGTTTTGTTAAGGACCTGTGTATTTTTGTTCCCTGTGAGCTGAGGGCCTGAAAGCAGTGTGTCCCTAAAAGTACCTGAGTGAAAGACCGTTTTTTCCCTTTTAGAACTGGTGTCTCTGCCTTGCTGAAGCTGTCCTGATTCCTTCCACTTGAGCCTAAGGGGTCCTACATGGTGTAACTAAACAGCAGTATTTTCCCAAAAGTACCTGAACGGGAAACCAGGAAGTCTATTGTTCCCTTACAGAACTGGTTCCTCCACCTTGCTCAATTTATCCTGGTTCTTCCTGCTTGAGCTTAAGGGGTTCTGCATGGTGTAGTAAAACAGCAGTGTTTCCCCCAAAGTCCTGCGGGTGGAGCACATCTTCCTGTAATGCATGCTGTGCAGCCAAAATTACCCATCTTTATACTATAGAGCCACCAGTGGATTTGAACTGTAAGGGTTTTCTGATATATTGTATAGCTCATCAGGGGTTAAACCGTGCTATCTTTTGTTTATTCTATAGCCAGTATCTACTATATATTGTATTTATTTAATATAAGCTATATTTATTGTTAGAAGATGTTGAGTTTAGTATGTATGACTCTTAGTGATCTTGTGAACAACAAATATGAACCATGTCCTGTAATGTGCCATCTTCAACATCTCTGACATACTTGAGCCCATTGCTACTGTCACCCTATCAATCCATATCATTGAAAATCTCCCTTTTCCTTCTGACCCTTCATATTTCCTACCATGATGTCTTTTTCCAAGAAATAGCCTCTCCTAACAACATATCCAAAGTGTGTGATATGAAGCTTCACGATTGTCATTGTCATTGCCTAATACATAGAAGGTACAAATGGTTTTCATCAACTGCCAAACTAAAGATTTTTGTTGATACCAAGCAAGATATGTCCTTGAGATCAACTTCTGTTAGGTTACAATCAACTAAGAAAGCTCATTGGAGCAGTTCTCTCCATGGTGTCACCATGAATTAGTTTCAAGTCAGTAATACCATAGCTACAACATTTTGATTACTACTTGGTGGTCATTCAATATATATTTGTTGAAAGAGTAAATTATTGTTAAAACTTTTTCTTCTTTTATTTCAGGTTTGCAGGTTTTATTAGTAGCTGCCCAAGAAAGAGAAATTTGCTGGTTTTATTTTTTACCAATTCTATTTAGAAGCACATAGTGCAGCAAGAATGGGTAATGTTCAAGTTTTCAATTTCATTGGTTGTTAAAAAATGATCCTGTAAACGGTAGTGATTTATTATAATTAAAATAAATGTATTACCACTTTCTCTTTCTCAAGTGACAACTTCATTACAGAGGGTGGGTTTTTTAAAATAACCTACTTTCTATTTCTTCTTCTGTTTAGAAAAATACAAAATGTTTTTAGAGGAGATGTCACAGTTTATTATGGAGGAAATACCAAAAGCTGAGTGAGTATTATGGCAGCTACACAATCCTGCAGCTGTTGCCAATCATCCAACTCACAGTGACCTTTCACTGGATTTCTGAGGCTGTAAATACTGACAACAGGAAATTGCCACCTTTTGTCCTAGATGCTGGTGCAGTCAAATTGTAAACCTTTAGCAGCTCTTATGCACTATGTGGTAATAAAGAATGTTAAGTTTGAAATAACCTTCTCTGTATATTTATTGTACCTTAAAGTTATATTCTCTTTTACAACATAGTACCTTGGACTCCCAACGTAGAGTCATGTGGAAACAATCTTCTTTTCCTTACTTTATTTTTTCTAAAATGTTGACAGAACCCACCACTCATTCCATGGAAGAAAGATGGGTAATCTCTTATAAAGGTTTACAGCTTTGGAAACCCAGTGGTGGTTCACTGTAAATTTTAGCCAACTTGATGTTAGTGAGTTTGCTTGTTTTATCAGTGACTATATTACTTTACCAAAAAAATGAAGTTTATGAAGAAGATTCCGTATCCATAAGTCCTCCTGGGGTGTGTATGTATATCTCTCAATGATTAACATGTTCATTGGCAAACTGTATGATTGGAGATTAGAGTCTGCTCAGAGTTGCCTGGGAAAGAGTCCTGATAGTTTAAATTTTAAAAATCAGTTATTGAAAACTCCATGTAACAGAGTTCAAATCTGGAACACACAGAGAATCATGAGTTAAATTAAACTGACATCAAGTGGTGACTAGTTTTATTTACAGGATACAAATATTAGTGTCAGATAATTGGCCTTGGATAATTTACTTTTGCTAGGAAGTGCTATTTCTTGGATAAGGACATGATGCTAACTAAGAAGAGTGGAAGGTTGGTGAAGGAAAGGAAGACCCTCAATCAGATGACTGACACAGCGATTGCCACAATGGGATACTGTGTGTCAAGAAGTGTAAGGATGGCGCAGGATAGAACAGGGTTCAGACCTTTCGTTCAGAGGGTTGTTATCAGTCATACTTGACTTGATAGCAACTGACAAAACAAGTCAAAATTCACCTGTTTAAAATGATAATAGTCTTGCCTCCTTCCTATGAATAATGTTGTGCATATGAATATATTTAAAATGCCTTAATGTAGGGTCTGCTGTAAAACAATTTCATGATAAATTCAAGTTGTTGACCATAATAATGGGATAATAATAACAATTCTATTGTTTTATTGGGCATTATTTAATCTACATGTGGTTTTTGTCATTCGATTTTAGATATTCCAGTATATTTAATGATTTTGTTGAATCTGAATTCTTTCTGATTGATGGAGATTCATTAATTATTACATGCCTTTGTGAGAAATCATTAAGCCTGGGACAGAATCTCCACTTCTTCTATCTAGTAGAACGCTATCTAATGGATCTTGCAAGTAAAGGAGGACAGTTTGTCATTGTTTTCTTCAAGGTAATAAATAACTAACCATTAAAAGCATAATTATTTTCTGTGATATAAGAACTAAATTTAGGTATGCTAACTTAGAATAATATTTTTCTTATTTTAAGTATATCTATATAAAAGTAAAATACAGTCAGAGAGTAGAAAAAAAGTGTTCAACGTTCTCGTATTCAGAGATTTTTAAGCTCAGCATTTCTTAAGCTGAAGGGGCTAAAAAACAAATTCAAGCCACGGGTAGCAATACTTAAAGATACTTTGGGTAGAATGTCAAATGATCTAGGAAGTATCAAGAGAAGATGGAAGGAATACACAGAGTCACTGTATCAGAAGGAATTGGCTGACACAGAAGAATTTCATGAAAAGATATATAAGCAAGAGCCTATGGTGATGAAGGAGGAAGTTCAAATTGCTCTAAGGAACTGGCAAAAAACAAGGCTCCAGGAGTTGACGGCATACCAATTGAAGTATTTCAACAGACAGACACTGCCCTGAATGTGCTTACTAAGTTGTGCCAAGAAATCTGGAGAATAGCCAGCTGGCCCACTGACTGGAAAAGATCAATATTTGTTCCCAATCCAAAGAAAGGTGACCCAACAGAGTGTGGAAATAGTCGAACAATATCATTAATATCACATGTAAGCAAGATTTGGCTGAAAATTATCCAAAAATGTTTGGAACAATATGTCAACAGAGAACGGCCAGATGTGCAGGCTGGATTTAGAAGAGGTCGTGGTACTAGGGATATTATAGCTAATGTCAGATGGATCTTGGCAGAAAGCAAAGAATACCAGAAGAATGTCTATCTGTGCTTCATTGACTATGCAAAGGTTTTTGACTGTGTGGATCACAGCAAGCTATGGCTGACTCTGAGAAGAATGGGAATCCCAGAACATTTGACTGTGCTAATGTGAAACCTGTGCTTGGACCAAGAGACAGTCATCAGAACAGAGCAAGGAGGCACTGCATGGTTCAAAATCAAGAAGGGGATTTGTCAGGGATGTATTCTGTCTCCATACCTTTTCGGTCTGTATGCAGAACAGATCAACCGAGACGCTGGGCTGTACGAAGAGGAATGTGGCATCAGGATTGGTGGAAGAGTCATCAACAACCTGCATTATGCAAATGACACAACCCTGATTTCTGAAACTGAGGAGGACCTGAAGCGCTTGCTGCCGAAGATCAAGGACTGCAGCCTCCTATATGGATTGAAGCTCAACATCAAGAAAACCAAGCTTCTCACCACTGGGGCAGTTGGCAGCATCAGTATCGGATGGCAAAGAGATTGAGATAGTTAACAGTTTTAATTTGCTTGGCTCCACAATCAACACTCTTGGTAACAGCAGCCAGGAAGTCAAGAGATGAATTGCATTGGAAAAGTCGGCTGTGAGGGACCTCTCAAGAGTATTGAAGAGCAACGACGTCAGGCTGGAGACTAAGGTGTGCCTAATCCGGGCTATAGTCTTCCCAATTATGTGCTATGCATCAGAGAGTTGTACAGTGAATAGGGTTGATAGAAAGAGAATTGATGTCTTTGACCCTTGGTGCTGGAGAAGAGTGTTGAATATACCATGGACTGCTAGGAGAACAAACAGGTTAGTCCTGGAGAAGGTGAAGCTGGAATGCTCCTTGGAGTCAAGGATTCTGAAGCTTCATCTGACATACTTTGGGCATATTGCAATGAGGTACTGGTCCTTGGAGAGGGACATCATGTTTGGCAGAGTGGAGGGGCGGCAAAGGAGAGAAAGACCTTCATGAGATGGCTCGAATCTGTGACAGGAGAGGTAGGAATAAGGGCGTTTGAGATGGCTAGGTTTGCACAAGATTAGTCGCAAACGACTCGATGGCACATAACAACAACAACAACAACAACAGCAATGACTGAGTGACAGTGTAACAGCATACAAATGATCATCACGTTAAGAAGAGTCTAGTTCATCTGTGGATTCTAGTTTTTAATTCTGAAAATTATTTTTATCTTCAAAACAAAAGAGTGAAATTTATTTGAGCCCAAAGGAATTTGCATACTCTTTAGCCACCTTCATTGTTTGCTTTATAGTTAAATTCTCAAGAAGATACCATCTTATTTTTCTTTTTTAAATTACAGTATAACTCAATCAAATTTAACCATTCAAATCTGCTTATGTCATTTTATGAACATACCATAGACCAGCAAGAAAACAAATAGTTTTGTCTTAGAGAGGGTTAAACAAAATTTCTTCTTGAAGCCTAGGATTTTGAAGCTCCATCTCACTTTATGCATGTAGCCAGGAGGGACTGGTCCTTGGAGAAGGACATTAGGCTTGGAAGGATGAAGGGACAGCTCAGGAAAGGAAGACCCTGTATGAAATGGACAGTAACTGGGACAATGGGGGTAGGTGTGTTAGACTGGCTCAGAATAGGGGAGGCTTTAGAGCTGTTGTACATAGGGCCTTTATGAGTTGCAGGCGACTCGACAGCACATAATAACAACAACAACAGGGAAACAGAATAAGTGTGTGTGTATGTGTATGTGTGTATAGACATCAATACATACACATAACTGACACACACATATTGACTAATTATGACATATTGGATCACAAGATTGTAAGGGAATAACAAATCTGAAATATGTAGGTCAGGCTGAAGACTATACGTCTCTATAGGGTTTTGTCTTGAGATCCATAAATCAAGTGAAGAGAGAGCACATTCTGCTAAGCTAACTATTTATAGTCTCAAAGTTGCATTCTGCCAAGCTATTGATAGTCTCAAAGTTGCAAACATATTAGAATTACTGTTTTCTACAGATTAATTGATTATCTTAAATTATATTATGGAACAGCATCTAGACTCATAATTTAGTCAAACATCTGGACGTTATAACCTAGCAAAACTGACACATGAAATAACCATCACTGATAAATGTATCTACTACCACACCTTTCTCACTTTATTCATAATTATGAACAATTTATTACTCTTAAAGATTTTGGTAGGTATATTTGAAATCATTTTCTATTCCATATTATTTTGTTTTTTAACATTGTTACTAGTTGTAATCAGTTTTCTAAGACCCAGGACACCAGTCAAATATTTGTGATCTTGTTATGTACTGATGAGTTAGAACTGACCTATAGCTGAGTTGGTGGATTCGAGTCATGCCAGAGCTCTCTTTGTAATTTAGATGAATGAATTAAAGATTTTTTTATCTACTGAGAAAGTCCTCTCTTAATTGAGAAGAGACATGATGACCTGCAGCAATCCTCCCTGAAAAAGAGATAACACCCTCAGAAAATAGAGTTGAAGTCGACTCAAACATAATAGTCTCCTTCTGTGAAATTATGACAACTGTATAAAAGCTTGTGATTCCTCAGGAAGTTGTATATTAAACTTGATATGATCCCAGAATCCCAATGTGTAGTATAACTCAGAAGTGAAAGCAGAAAGACAAATACAACTGTACACACACACACACACACACACACACACACACACACAAGGTTAAAATCGGCTCAATGACACCTAGCAGTGACAACACCTTATTTTTAACTTTTCTGTTCCTTTCCTGTTTGAATTTATGTCAGAGAAGAAAAGCATTAGAGTGGTAAAAGAAAGTGGAAAAAAAAAACCCCACAACAAAACACTTGAGTAGTCTATGCCTGTTATAAAGAACCAAATTTTTTCAATCCAAATCATTCTATTTATTTGTAAATTGGCGACCTAAAGGACCGATTCCTGAGTTGTCCCCTATTCTTTTAGTGCTTTTAATGACATATGTTAATCAAGTAAACTAATAATCTACTAAACAATAACTGTAAATAATTTATTCCTCTCTACCCCACAGGATGCTGAGTATGCATATACCAACTTTCCTGAACTTCTTTCTCTGAGAAGTGCTCTAATTCTTCATCTTCAACAGAATACCACCATTAATGTTCAAACTAAATATTCAGGATGTTTATCTCAAGAGTGGAAATGCTTCTTGGAAGAGACTTGCCCATATTTCCTGATAGTTGCGGATGAAGGCCTGAATGATTCACAGACAAACTTTTTCAACTTTTTAATCCTACACTCTTGGGCAATGAAAATCCAAGTTGTGCTTTCTTCAGAGCAAGTATCTGATGTTCTCCGACTTTATGCATACCTTATTGCAAGCATGGTTAGAAATCAATTATTTTTCATGAAGGTAATATATATCTTAAAAGTCATTTTCTCATGGGATCAGAGGCTAGTAAAAAGTTCATTGGCTTGAATCTACTAGGCTCTTCAGTGGAGAAAGGTTGACTGCCTGCTTCTGTGAAGACTTCTAGCCTTAGAAACTCAATGGAAAAGTTCTACTCTGCTCTGTAGTGTTGGTATGACTCAAAATAGACTTGACATCACTGGGTTTGGCCTTTTCCTTTTATGTTATACCACTAGTGTTTTATATTTGGTGTGCATTAATTTGTTTAAAGGAGGTCTGGTGGCCGAGTGATAAGAAACTGCACTGCAATCCCAAAGACACTTAATTCAAATCTATCCGCTGGTCTTCAGGAGAAGGATGGGCAGTCTTGTTCTGTGGGATTAATTGACTCTGAAAACCAGCTGGAGGGTCAGCTATGGGTTGATTCCAATTTGATGGTACATTACAACAACAATTTGTTTAACCCCTTTATAACAGTCATCCATGGTGCATGCGTTATTATGTTTTGTTTCACAGATGAAGAAATGGGTACTTTTATATATTATTTTCCTTTTGAGCAGGAATAAATAACAGATAATTTATTCAGAAAGAGGAAATCTGACTCCAGATCTTTTTAATTTCTTTATTATATGACATATTATTTCTTAACTATGATGGCTATAAGTGCATTAAATGGAGACAGAAGTTATGTCTGTTCTGCTTAATCGCATGCCATTATCCCTTAAAAGAAAGAATGAATAAATAATGAGTTAATTCTGATTTTGTATGAAATTTAATATTGTACATATTTCAATGATTTTAGACTCTGTTTCATGGTCTTATTTACTTTATTTGTATATTTAAAAGTATTTGAATTCTTAGAGTGCATGTTAACTTTATGATTAAATTTAGTATTGTTTACATTTTTGCTACATACAGGGAATTCTGAAATTAAAGAGAATTCTTTATTTTATCAAATTGATTTTTTAATTGATTAGTATTTATACATTTTGAGACTTTTATGACAGTTTCATTGTGTTTGGAGATGCCCAGAGGTTCATCATGAAATACGATGAGGTTTTACATTTGTTTGCAATTCATCATTAAATGATTTCCAGTTATGACTGTCTAGCATGTACAGGAGTGGTCCTAGGATTAATTTCTATAATGGAAGGAAATTTGTTAGATCTTCTCTTTTGTCAGGTCAGTTCTAGAATCTGAGTTTTAAGATTAGAGACATTCTGCCTAATTTCTCTTGGAGAGATTTTTAAATGAGAATTTTATTCTTGATAAAATAACTTATTTGTTGATTTAGTCAATATTCCCCTCCAATTATTCCAGTCATCAGTTGGAGGACTGTGTGAAATGTGAAAATTATGTGTTGATAATGCACATAATGTCTACTGCTGAGAGGAAGATACCTTGAAAAACTTGTCATTTTCTATTCATACGCATGCTGGAAGTTTTTCCATAATAAAATATAATGTACTTAATAGGTACAATATTTCTTTTGAGAATGTTGGGTAAGCTTTAAAATTAGATTGTAGTGAAGGTTACACAGTTCAGTAAGTTTATGTACAATTAGCTGGTTTCTATACTTAAAATGAGTGACTTTTATGTTATGGCGATTATCGTTTCATGAACCTATTAAATAGTAAATACACTAAGTCTTTTGCTGTTGTTGTTGTTGTGTACTCTTAAGACAGAAGCAGCCCATAGTTGACCCTCCAGCAAGTTTCCAGAGGCAGTTACTTGCATAGGAGGAGACTGCCCATCCTCCCACAGAGCAGCTGATGGCCTCGAACCGCATGCCTTCAGGATTACAGCACAGCTTCTTGTGACTAGGCCACTAGAGCTCCCTACAAGCTAGAAAATAGTGCTTTTAGCAAATTTTAATAACATTGACTCTGTACAATTTTGTGAGTGTGGGGGTTTTTGTTTGTTTGTTTGTTTATCCTGGAAATAAATAAATCGTAACCTAATTGTACGGTCACTCTCTGATTTTTCTATAGCTGGAAAACACTTAAATATTTTATCTGTGATTACTATGTTGTTTTACTCCATTTTACAGAATGAAAAGAAGATTAAATATACTTACACAGCTCTTATTAAACAATTGGAGCAAAATAGAGTTTCAGCATTATCACCGCTCTTTAAAAATTTTACATGGACCGATATGATGGAAGAGGTACTAAAACTTTTAAAACTCTGTTTAATCTTTTAATTTTATAATAGTAATGCTGTTGCTATTGTTGTTATGTGCTATCGAGTTACCTGTGACTCACAGCAATCCTATGTACAACAACTTTGAAGCCCGCCTTTTCCTGGCCCAGTCTCATTGACTCCAACACACCTAGCCCAATTGCAGCACTGGACAGTGTTTTTTTTTATTTTATTGCAGGAGTAAGAACTGACTCAGTGACCACTACTAGTAATATTAATTACCTTTCTTTCTTTGTTTCGGTGTCACTTGTTTCCCGCTAAGGCCACTTTCTATTTCAGAAATATCTCCAGGAAACCATTTATGGTTAAATGTTCTTTCTCTTTATTCTCCTCCAGCACATAAAATGACCTCTTTCATTTTATCTTTCATGACCTGGATACTTTCCAAGAGTTATCCATGGGCGATGGATAGGTACCCTCCTCCCATGCTATTAACTGTCTCTGAAAAGAAAATTGTCTCTGTTGGAGATCAGCTTTGGGTTGATCTAATTTGGGCTTATATGATAGTTCTATTGATCCTGTAGTCTTATATTTTTTATATTATCATTCAGAGTTAGACATCAGTATTATTGTTGGTAAATGACACTAATTTAACTACAACTCATAACAATTCTGTGAACAGCAAATTACAAAACCTGCATTATCCTCTGCCACCCTCTAATATGCTTGAGTCCATTTTTACAGTCACTGAGGCAATATATCGTTTTGAGAATTTTCTTTTTCTCTGATCTTCAATATTTTTCAGAATAACATCTTTTCCCCCAGTACTAGGCCTTTCTGACAATATGCTCAAATTATATGAAACTGAGTTTTACCATCTTTGTCTTGATGGAACATCTTGGTTGCACTTGACACAGGACAAACTTGTTTGTTTGACAGTCCAGACACAGGACAAACTTGTTTGTTTGACAGTCCAGCTCATACTCTTTTCTGATACTTTAATTCAAAGATATCTATTCTTCTACTGTCATCCTTATATATTTAACATTTAAATGCATGGAAAGCATTGCATCAGGTGACTTTAAACCAATGTTATTGCTCTTTAGCACTTGGAGAAGTCCATGACAGCAGAGTTTCCCAATGCACAATGTCTTTTCATTTTTTAACTATTTCTAGTCAAGATACTGATTGTGGAATTGATATTATAGACATATTCAACCTTAATTTCATCTATCATGATGTTGTCTATTGGCTCAGTGGTAAGAATTTATTTTTCTTGATGTTGAGATGTAATATATTTTGAAAGCTATAGTCTTTCAACTTCTACAATAAGTACTTCAAGTTAGAACAAATGTAGTTATTAAGTCTTGTTCTAATCCCGATGACACCTTCTTTTTTTATAGTCCAACTTTTCAAATGATTTGCTCAGAATTTGGATTGAGTACATGCGGAGAGAGGATACAACCCTAACAAGCACCATTATTTATTTTAAACCGTGCTGTATTACCTTTTTCTGTTTAGACAACAGTTTCTTGGTCTACTGATATGTTTCACAAGAACACATTTAAGTATTCTGGGAGTCCCAATCTTCTTAATGTTGCCCATAATGTTCATGATCTACAGTTAAAAATTTTGCATAGTTATTGAAATGCAAATGTCTTTCTAGTGTTCTCTGCTTTTTAGTGTTTCTTCCCTTTGTTTTTGTTTCTGCATTCTCATGTAATTTTGAGTCTCTTCTGATGTCCATTTTGTTATTTTTCCTCCTGTCTTTGGTTTTTTCAATTTATTTTTTAAATTTTATTTTATTAGTTTTAATAAACATTTACAGAGATTTTGGATTTCCATTTATTCATTGTTGCACTATTTTCTCTGCCACTCCCCTGCCAGTTCGTTCCTCTCTTTTTTTTTCCTTGAAAGTCTGTTTCAATTGTTTCATTGCCACAGTGCTTGTCAAAACCAGTTCTGATTAATCTCCTTTGTCAGTGTGTCCTTTGCCATCCCCTAT